TAAGGCTGTCTAAGGTGGTGTAAGTTGCTGGCTGGAAGTTTAGAAACAGAAAGTTTAGTAACAGTGGAGTTACAGAAACAATTTTAGAAGCTGGCTGAGCTTCCCTGTATATTTTAACTGGTGAGTTGTGGAGTGCTGGAGCGGCATTAGGATGGTGGTGAGGTGGAAGCAGAGCAGCCAGGCACTGCCAGCTCAGGGCAGTCAGGTCAGCAGCTGGCAGGCTTGGCTCTGCAGGGGACGCTTTGTTCATGGCATATGTGCAAAACTGTTTTCCTCTGGTGTAACTTAGTGTTACAGTAGGTAGGGTAAGTACAGAAGGTGAGTGTGAGACAGAAGGATGCTTGTGCAAACAGGAGATGGTTCTCAGCTATGGTGGGATGGGTTATTCAGGTGACAGCCTTGCTGTAGCACCGCTGCAGGCATAGGCAGGTTGGCCAAATCCAGAAGCGGTGCAGTGCTGTTGATGGGGTGACTGTGCTGATGGGCAACCATGAGATGCTCTGCTTCTCACTTTGGGACTCAATATCCCACTGTAAGAAATCATTGCTCTTATTGTATCGTCTTATGGGTAAAGTTTTAGTGTTTTAAAAGAAGCCAACCAAAAAACACATATGTACCCGAAGGGCTATTTAAATCCCAGAGCCAAAACTTTCCCTTTGTTGAGCAGTGCTGAGCATACAGCTGAATAACATAGTTTTTCATTAATCTGACAGTGCAGGTTTTCCTTTGTCAGCATTTTCTTGTTGAATACTACATCTGAAATTACTAGTGACTTTTCTGCTTGAAAAATGTGTGCTTTGTGCTGGAGCAGTGTGTTTGTCGTGTTTTTTAAAACATTTCTCTCAAGCGTGACTTTTACTTGGTCGCTTGTGGGCAGTTGCAGTGTGGTGCAGTATATATCTTACAGTCTTGTGAAGAAAAGCAGCACCAAATCGTGAGGTTTTCAGTAGCAGATCCCAAAAATGGTGCCCTGTGTGGTAGTGGTTTTACAGAAATAAGTGCTGTACAGTGAAAGCTCCAATAAATATCATTCATTTGATGGCTAATAATTAAATAAAATGCCCAGAAGAAAGTGATGTCCTTCATATGAGCCCACTGAGAATTACCAGAAATGGAGGATGGTTGCATTAGCACATATTGGATGGGTATCTAAGGACAAACAGATCTGAGTCTCAAAGGTCTGTAGCAGTGAACAGAAAGTATTGAAATATTCATAAATATGCATGGAGGAATGTACGTGAGTCATGTGCATGACACACTGGAGGCTGCAGTCTGCTAGAAAACGTTGTGCATTGGCATGTGGATAAATTGCATACTTTATCTGCTTCATCCATATCCTCACCTGGTTTTACAGCTCCTCCCAATCCTCCATATTTCCTACTTGCCCTGGCTCTTACCTATCTTCTGTTAGTATTCAAATTATTTTTAAGGAAAGCTGCTTGTTTGGTTTAACAAAGTTGTTGATACAACACTAAATCCTCCTTTGTAGTGGCCTCAGGAACTATACAATATACTACTGGTAGCGTGAGAGAGCGAACCAAAGCTCAGAAGAATGAAAATAGCATGATCAGAAAGCAGAGGAATTAAAAATACAATAAGGAATAGACCAAAAAAATCTTTCTGCCAAAAAATGCCTGAAATATATTGCACTACCTTTTTTCTGCTAGAGAAGTAACTTTACTTGTACAGGTTTGGGGAAAAAAAAAGAAGTCTGAATATGACTAATAAGAGTTTACTGTGAATGTTTTTGCAGATCCTTTTTATAGTCCTTGTTGAACTGAAGTGAGAGTGATTTAATATAATACAGATAACTGTTTCTCCATCTCCTCTCAAGCAAATGCTTCCATAAATTTTGTGAATTCTGTCTTCCACATGGCCCACAGGAGACCACAAATGTGCAATTTCCTTATATATAGATTGTAAACAAGAGTGAAAGAGCATTTCAGCCTTGCAGAGTGTGAAATGGTAGAGCTTTATTGCAGGAGGCCTCTTTCAGGGATATTTGAGAAGTAAATATATAACTTGAAATGACAGAATTTGGCAATAAGTATTGGTATAGTCTGTTGATGAAATATATTGGCCAGTTGTTGTCTCTGCAATCTTAATAGATCACAGTAATAGGAAGTTTGAGTAAAACTGTAGCCATGGTGAACCATTAGCAGAAAAGCGAGCTGGCGCTGGGATGGCCAGAGCTTGAAAATCTGTTTTATGTCTTTTGGGGACTTTTAGACAGGGGAAAAGCCTTCTGTAATGTGAAGGATATGATGTGCAAAGGGCCAAGGAAATACTTCTGTTGTTATTTTATACTTTATGTGCTTTCAGGCAGGTTGGTAGAACATAAAGGTTGAACCTTGGCTCCTTTTTCTATGCACTGTGCACTGTTTGACCACCAAAATGCTTTCTTCTAGTTACATGAAAAACCCCTGTGTCTTCTACAGGGGATTGTATAAATCACACGCATCTGAATTTCATGTAAAACCACTTTGGTTGTAGTGACAGATGCTCTGATTCAGGCACTAACCAGTCTCAAGGATTTAAATGGGGCTGTCATGGGTAATGCTGAATCATCACTTTCCTGTTTTATCAGATGGGGATTCTATGTGTACCCCCCTTGTTACCCTGAGGTACAGCAGCACTGTTGCACTTGAATTTTCACTGAGTTGTGCTTTGAGTATGTAAGAAGCTACTTACAGCCCAGTGCTCTGCAAATGGGGCTCTGGGCCTCTCAAAATGAATGTCCTAAATCAGTGGAAGCATCTGACCTTGACCTCCTTGCTGCCATTCTGTGGAAATGATGACATTTAAAGGCATCCTTCAGGGATTAGTAAGTTAATGCTTGTGAAGCACTTGGATTTACAGTAATTATCTGCCCAGAGAAAATCTTGACAGATAAATAATAATTGTCATCTCAACGGAGTATGAGTAGCATGCAAAAAAGGCATAGGGCTGCATGCTGAGCCATGAGAAGAGGAAAAAAATGCATTAATTTCTTTTGTAGTGAGGATTAGCTTCTCTGTGCCAAATGAGAGATGGGGACAAGATGACAGTGACATGCTTTCAGATTATCATCTGTGTGCAAGAGGGCCAAAGAAACATCCTCTGCATGTCTGACCTCCAGCAGTCCAGGCTTGTGGCCACATTTGGGTTCCAGGCTGGGTACAGTGCTCTTTATTTTGTCAGTAAGGGTGGCACCCACATTGCCATTGAACACATGGAGTCATGATGAAGATGGTGGCCATTCTCGCAGCTGAATCAGATTGAAGGGAGTGGGTTTCACAGTCACCTGCTGATGGGTGAAGGATGAAAGTCAGGATATTTTCTCCAATCACTTGCTGTTTTTCACAAGTCCTTGTTTGCCTTTCTGACAATTACTTCCCATCAGTTTCCCTTACGGGCTCCCAGTGCTGATCCATTTCCATACCTCCACTTCTTTTCTTCCAGTCCCAGTTAGGTTCCTTTCCTCACTTGATTCCCTGTTTCTTTGTTCCTTTTCCCCATCTGCTCCCATCCTCTGCTGCGTGGATTTTACCTATAGCAGCCACTGAAGACTTTGCCCATGTACCTTCAGGCTAGCGAGAAGCTGTTCAGTTGTTTGGGGGATGCTGCATGCGTAGTCTGATCTGCTCAGAGACATCCACATAACAGATCACTGCGTAGTCAGTCCATGTGAACTTTTAGAGGCTTTACCTGTGGAAATCTGGCAAACCTCAGGTACACATGATCCTGAAAAAAATACTCGAAGAGCACAGGTGTCTGAAAACTTGGAAATTAAAGTGTCAGCTGTCCCAACTGAGAGGCCATATCAAGTAGAGTCTTGAGGATGTTTTTTGGGGATCTGGTAGCATTATCTCTTTCGGAGTCAGAACTGTTGATGAACAGACTATGTAATGAGATTGGTGGATTTTACCCAACAAAGCAGGTGTTTTGGAGGCCTGAATTAAAATTCAGTGAAGGAATTACATTTGCCATACAGATCTTCTTTTTTAATTGAGAGCAAGTATTCTGCTAAGGAAGGCAAACCGAAAGGAGCAATTACATACTGGGAATAGCCTGGGGTTATAATAGGAGTCAGCTGCGTGGTAAAGACACCAAATGTCTTTCTGGGATGAACCGGCAAGAGCGTTCGCAGTACACCTCGGCTCGTGTTGTATGCAGCTTTGCATACTGCGCGTTCAGACCAAAGCTGGAAGATGCTGCCAAGAAATAACGAAAGGGTCAGAAAATAGAACCTCTAAGGAAAGTTTGAAGGAGCAGAACTTATTAGTCTAGAAACGTCAAGACTGAAGTAGTCCTAGGACAGGCGTTTGTTATGGATAGTGGTTAATCTGTCTGTCATCTAGAAGGAACAGGCTCTGTCCACAGTGTGTAGTATATTAAAATTGATACCGTGAAAATGTTTCTCATGAGTTTGTCTCTTGGGATTGCAGACATTTTATTCAGGACAAGAGAGGCGGTTATTTTGGTTTTGGAGAAGGAAAGAAATAGAGAGGAGATGCTGTCCTAGCATTCCTTCTAGTTTCTGCATGTCTGTGATACTACTTGAGGATGGATGAGCTCCAGTTTTCCAGTTGTTTATAACTTTATCAAATTTGGATGGATTTTCAGAGGGACTACAGAATTAAAAAATATCCAGCACTAAAAACAACATATGCTGATCGGATTTCAAGTATACCTCTTCCAAAAGATGGAGAACTCTTTTAATTATTGTTTAAAATGTTTTTTGTTATCATTTACAAAAATACATTTTATCTTGTCTAGTTCTGGGAAATAGCTAACCCTCTGTGACCAAACTCCTTCCGCCCCTCAAATTGCCAATACTTAGCATACAGAATTTAGGTCAGATGGTTTAAGTCTGGCAAAGTTCTAAAAGCAGCTAAAAACAAGGTCTAAGGGGAAGTGTCACGTAACATTAATAACAGGCAAAGCTACCAGCCCCACCTATAATAATTTTATTTCTATCAAAGCCAGGTTTTCTTGATGATTCTCAAATGTTTCTGCAGGCTTTTAGAGAAGATCTGGAATGCCTTATTCAAGAACAGATGAAGAAGGGCAATAACCCCACTGGACTGCTTGCATTACAGCAGATTGCTGAATACATTACGGCAAGCTCTTTTTCAGGTTTTTCCTCATCTTCACTCAGTAAGTGAATTATGCATATAATTGCACTTTTTATCTTCCTTTATTTATTATCACCAGCGCTTAGCAACGTGAGGATCTCCTCTTTCTTTTAAGAAAAGTTCTGTCAGAGCTTGCTTCAGCTGTGAAGTAGTAGAGATGGTGGCCTTAACTTTTGTTTTTAGGCTTTTTTCTCTCAAATGCTTTGATTTGTGTAATGATATCCAAAATCTTTGGAGTCCTCACACTCAGTTATTCTAGAATTTGCTAATAAAAGTTTAACTGAAATAGGGAAACAGATGCTGCACCCCATTAGTGCTAGCAGTTTAACACAAGCATAAACTAAGATGTGAAATACATAACAATTTAGATTATTTATTTTTCCACTCTTGCATATAATTTTTTTAAAGGGAGGAGAGGAGTAGCTTAGCAAACTGAACTGTTACACAAACAGCTCCCACAGTTAGAAACAGCTCGTAGTATGCACTCTAGCTGTAAAGAAGTCATGAGGATCTTTCAGTTAACACCCAAGTTCTGCTTTCCAAGTCATGAAGCACTGAGATGTTAAAGTCGGTGTGAGTTCTGTGGGTGGACATCATATAGGAGCTTACAAGGCTGAAGTACAGTGGCAGCTGTCAGCATTCAGCATCTTTTGAGAATTGGTCCCAAAATGGCTCTTCAGAGTTCATGTAACAAAACAAGTGGGAGAGGACAGCAAAAAGCCCATGTAATCTTATCTCCGCCTCTCTGGCTGCTTAGGGGGGCTGCAGGTCCAGCTGTGGGTCTCTGCTGTGTTTGCCCAGGGACTTTAGGACGGGTTGACTAATCTCAAAGTGAGTGTTTTTGTTGAAAACCGGAACTACTTTTACCTCTTCTGGTCTTAACTTCCCCTCTAAAGAGTGTAGCTCTCAAAGGGATATCATCCATTCAAGAAAGGGAGAAGTGTATGCTTGTGTAGTCACAAGTCAGAGAGATAAATTGATCTTTGTGCTTTCTCTGCTAAGAGGTGATCTCTTCTGTCTAGTAGTTGAGAACTCTTGCACTGATCCTGATTTCCTCATTAGGACTAAATTAAAGTGCTCAGACTGAGACATCTCGTTAGATATACTGGTGTCAGAAAACCAGCAAGAACGTGTTGTCCTGTAGTTTTCAAAGTAGCAGAGGTTTCAGTAAAGACCTTAGAAATCCCAGAAATGCAGTTCCAGTCTCATAATTGCTGGTATTGCTATACAAATAATTTTTAAAATCCTGTTTTTCAGGCCATGGAATGATCACACCCATCAATGATCTACCTGGGATAGATACCTCTTCATTTGTCAAGGGAGAAAAGCTTACTCGTTGCAAGTTAGCCAGTTTGTATAGATTGGCTGACTTGTTTGGGTGGGCGCATTTGCCAAATGCTTATATCACAGTAAGTATTTTAGAGAATAATTTTTTTAATTTCAAATCTTACATATTCATTCAAATCAATTTCCCCCTGAATAATACAAATTGAAAAATAGATCAGTAATCCATTTTCTTTCTCCTTTGCAGGTAAGAGTAAGCAAAGAACATGACCATATTCTAATCATTCCAAGAGGTCTGTCCTTTTCTGAAGCTTCAGCTTCTAATTTGGTACGTGATTCACCTGCTGTAAAAACCAGTAAGGTTCAACCTGTTTTCTAAAAGACTTTTGTGGCTGCCAAAATGGACTTCTAAACTATCATCATGCTGTTGTTTTTCAATGTTTACTCACCAGATGAAAAGCTGATTACCTACTTAGATACCAGCATCTTTTGTCCTCAGCATTTCTTTTTGGGTTTAGCTTTGCTTTCTGTCGCTTTGTCTTCAGCTTCAGTGAGGAGCAGCAAAGTTTTATTTTCCTGTCTGATGAAGCTCATTGAATAGCCTCAGTATAACAGCAGTCATTTATAACCTGACAATATGGTAGTGCATGTGAAATGATTCTGTAGGAGTGGTGTTGGTAGAACCAGCTCTCTTTATACTCTCTCTTTATAACTGGGGAAATAAAGTTGAATAATCTTACCCAGGCCCAACAAAGGAGCTGGGTGAGGTTACAGATTGGCATGTAGGCAATGGTAGCTGCTAAATCACACACCTTTTGGTGCACTACCTGCCATATGTTCTTCATGTCAGTTCATAACTGTAAGGAAACTACCTCCAGTTGGAAGATATTGATAGCGTTACACCAGCAAACACAGAAACAAAATACAAACATGAGAACAAGACCTGATATGACCCTGCTGCTGTTTTTTGTTGATCTTGGAATTATTATTTGATGTTCCCATGAAATTGAAAATTCCCTATGCATTTAATTTTCTTATTGGAAATTTCTCAGAGGCTGAATTTTCTTTACATTTAAAATGTACAGAATGTTAACAAAATTCATTTTTGAAGGTCAGAAGCAAATGAAGGTCAGCTAGATCAAAAGGAATATATATTATGTCAGGGTCTTATGTTTACTTTTTCCACAGCTGGACTTCCAACAGCTGTCAAGGGCTTGGACAGCAGGATGGTTTATTGTCACACAGATTCATGGCTGCTCTCCTACTTTATTTCATGCCCTGAGCCCCAGATATGTGGGGGAAAACTTGGTACCAAGTAAGAAAAGAAGGGTAGGTTGTACATACTGGCAGTTGTCACAAACTTTTTAAATATTGTTCCTTTGTTTTACTTTTCTAGGTTAAAGTAAACATCCTAGGAGATGTAGTTGACCAGGGAAGTACGAATCTAAGTATTGACAATGCAGGATTCAGTCCACATGTGGCCATCTACTCCACACGCCCTGATGTCAGATGTGTAATACACATACATACCCCTGCAACAGCAGCTGTAAGTCTTCCTTCTAGCATAAAGAGTGAAAGAAAACAGATTTACCTTATGAGCTTAGAGCACATTTCTAAATCTGAGTCACTGCTCATGGCAGCTTTATTTTTGTTTTTAACATCAACTCTACACTGGTAAAGAAAGGTATGAGCTTATCGAATAAACAGAGAAAGACGGCTAGGCCACTGCAGTGAAATGGATAGAAATAAACTGATGCTCAGATATGATTGTACTCGGGTTGAGGAGGCTGTAAAGTATATAGTTTACACATGCCTCGTTTATAGCGTCTTAGACCATATAATGTGCTGTATACATCATCACTTGCATTGTGCTACTCCATTTTTAAGTGGCTTAATTTGTAGTTATGTTCAGTTTGGATTTACCTCATTATCAAAAAGTCATAGTTAAGAGATAGGTTAAAAAAGGTCTGTATAACAATGATAAAAATGTAAGGAGACTTGAAAGAATTTGTTTGAGATTAATAGATAAATTCACATTATTTTATATATAAATGCATATATATGCATTCTTTACTACAGACAAAAAAAGGAATTGGTAACTTTAATACTAGCTTTTTAAAGTTATAAACGTGGGAAAGAAGGAATAAACATCAGGTAGGCTTATGCGGAGAGTTAAACATCGATAAAATTCACAAAAATTAACTTAGTTGGGATAATTTGTGTTTTCCTATAATGAATACCTTAGGTTGGGTAGCAGCAGCTCTATCACCCTGTGGTAAATTAGACTTGGTAGGGAACAGTATTGTTTCTAAGTTTTCACTGTAGAGAGTTTGTCTCTCTTTTAGCAGAGATACAAAATACATCCTGCTAAGGCCTGGGTGGTTGAGATGTGTGTTTTTAGAGTTTCATTTTTTCCTAACTAGCATTACTTCATCTTCTTGAAACAGGTTTCATCTATGAAGTGTGGCATCCTTCCCATATCACAGGAGGCTCTGATTCTGGGAGATGTCGCTTATTACAACTACCAGGGATCTCTTGATGAACAGGAAGAGAGAATTCAGCTTCAGAAAGTTCTTGGACCCAGTTGCAAGGTATTCAGCCTCATTCACGCTCTTCATAAACAGTTTTCATGTAGTGCACCAGTTTCTACCATTTAACATTAGTGTCTCCATTTACTAGGTATTAGTCTTGAGAAACCATGGTGTGGTAGCACTAGGAGAGACACTGGAAGAAGCATTCCACTATATTTTCAATGTGCAACTGGCCTGTGAAACACAGGTGAGAGAGAATTTATCCGTATTTAATTTCAAACACTGTCACTGCTGAGTTATAGATTACATTCCAGATGGGAAGATCTCTAATATTACAAAATATTTGGAGTTGTGGAATCCAGTAATCATATGCCAGGTAAAAGTCAAAGAAATTGGAAAAATCAGGAAAACATTGAAGAAACAGCACAAATACTGTATCTCTTCCTAGAATGAGTATCGGTAGTGTTACACTCCAAAGAGTACAAGTTTTGTTCCATGCTGTGGAGAGTGAGCTTCATGCAGGGAATCTGTCAGATCATAGATTCAGTGGTACTCGCTGTATGTGGAAGTGTGACTTAAACAGGCTGGGTGTCAAGAGATCTTATCAAAGCTGAATGTTGTGACAAGGAAAGAAGGTTCTCCCTGTCATCACAAAGATTTGTAAAACCTAGTAAACCAAAGGTCTTTGGAGCAATGGTGGAGGGTAGAGTATCTAAAAATTACTTGAGTCCCAAAATTAGTTGTTTCTGTTTTGTTTAACTTTAACTACCTAGATAGGTATTATCTGTGATGTGTGGAGGGAGAACACTGAAAGTGTCCTCACCTCCCATAACTCTTAAGTCCATCCCTAGAAACTTCCTCACATTGCTCTTGTGCTCCAGTGTTCCTGTCCTTCCACATAGGCGTTTGGAGGTGCAAATAGTCTCCCAGTCCTTTCCTTTCCTCGCTTGCCCTGCCATTCATTTTGAGTTTGATCACTCATTTGTTTTGAAACGGATATAAAAATGAAAACTGTTTAGTCTAGTGATGCAGAAAAACATTTTTAAGGTACTCAAAGCTAGTGAGCTGGTGTTTGAGTCTACTTCTTTTAAAGTGCAATTATTAGCAGATATTATCATCCCATCTATAAGAATCACTTGCTTTATATTTTAATACATTTTTGCACAGTAGAAAACTAGCCTGAGAAATAATTGCAGCATGGGTTTAAGCATGTTTCTCCTGTGAATTCAGAGAAGCAGAGAATCCAAAAGCTTTTCCACAAATGAAATACACTGATTGATGTCTCTAGGTTCATGCATTAGCTGGAGCAGGAGGGATAGACAATCTCCTACTACTGGATCTGCAGAAGTTCAAGCCTTCCACACACGCTGTGGCAGCAACTGGAGGAGGTGGAGTTAATATGGCTTCACAACAAAAATGGAAAGTTGGGGAGCAAGAATTTGAAGCCCTCATGCGCATGCTGGACAACCTGGTAAGAGCACATTGATGTTGTCCATATAGGCTCTGTAAGCTTTGCAGTGTAGAATTAGCTTCTGTTAAAGCAAATTCATAAAATCATAGAGTGGTTCAGGTTGGAAGGGACCTTAAAGCTCCCTGAGTCCAACCCCCCTGCCATGGGCAGAGACACCTCCCACCAGACCAGGCTGCTCAAAGCCCCGTCCAACCTGGCCTTGAACACTTCCAGGGAGGGGGCATCCACAACTTCCCTGGGCAACCTGTGCCAGTGTCTCACCACCCTCACTGTAAAGAATTTCTTCCTAATATCCAGTCTAAATCTACTCTCTTCCAGCTTAAAACCATTCCCCCTCATTCTATTGCTACCTGCTCTTGTAAAAAGTAAATTTATTTTTTTTAAATCATTTATTTTATTTAATGTTATTTTTTTGTGATTTCTTTGTGAGTTTGAAAATGAAGACAGAGTAACTTATTGTATATGAAATCTCGTCTGCTTGGCTTGTTTTTTATTATGTCTCTGTATCTGACAGTAGTACTCTGTCTTGATAAGAATTTGTAATGCTTTGACCTTGAGTTTTTTCCAGCCCATCTCACAATCATTTGCTTTTGGTAATAGCTTAATAGTAAAAATATATTTTAATTGCCACCTAGTAAATAAGCATAGTAAATTCTCTCTATATTTTGTTATTAACTCTTAATATTTGGAAATAAGATGTTAATTTGTTATTTTTTTGAAATATCAGTTTCACTGCAGTATGAATTCTGGAACCTAAGCCTTTAATAAAAATAAAGTGAGGAATGGGGGAGTGTCATGAGCCAGGATGTGCTTTGTGCAAGACAAATAAATGTCCTCAGGAAAGCTACCTAGGTCATAACCTGAGCAGGGGGTCATTTGGTGGTCACACATTCATAAAGGTGGGAAGAAGGTGAAATGTGAGTGGGGTCTTGTCCAGTCACTACTGTACTGTATTTTAAATGGGTCTTTTGAATGTTAATAGTATGAATGATGAATGATGGACAATACCACTAGAAGCTCTGATGAGCTCAGTGGACCTGTTTAATGCATATAGGGCAGCACAGAACTTCCGTGACTTCTTTGGATACCGTTTTCTGATTTTTAAATTATTTTTATTATTTTTTTAAATATTTTTTTCCCTTTTTTCTGTTCTCCATAGGGATACAGAACTGGCTATGCCTATAGGCAACCATTAGTCAGAGAAAAGCCCAGACATAAGAGTGACGTTGAGATCCCAGCCACTGTGACTGCCTTTTCCTTTGAAGATGACACAGTCCCGCTTTCCCCGCTGAAATTCCTGGCGCAGAGGCAACAGAGAGAAAAGACAAGATGGCTAAACTCTCCAAACACGTACTTGAAAGTTAATGTGCCTGAGGAGTCCTGGAACGGGGAAACCAGTCCCAGGACTAAGATCACGGTAGGTAGATATTTTAGGCGGTCGCTTAGTTTTTGCACTACTTGTGAGAAAGTAAATGACATACAGTTCACATGAGGACATCTTTAACAGGATTAGCAAATAAGGTTATTAAGCATATAAAAAGAGGTTTTGAGGAGACTTAATGACATTTGTACTAAGGGCTCCCTCTGGGGAAGTGGAGTTTTAACTATTTGGAAGAGTAACAGTTTCTGATAAAATTTAACAATTATTTCCTTTTTGTTACTAACTCTTCTAATTGCTGAAGTAGAAAACAGTTTTTCTACCATATCTTTTTGTGCTATTAATTATCCACCAAACATAGTAAGGTTTTATATCACTCTTGGTTCTCTTTTCTACATGAGGGAGACACAAGCTCTAATTCATCTCGGAACTGCCCCTTTCCTGTCTGTGAGCCTACTAAAAGCAGACTTCAAAGAGTCTGTTTGTGCTGCTACTTTTAACGATGATCAAGACTTTTCCTCGTTTAGCTCACCAAGTTGCTTCCACTGTATTTCCAGCCTGGAGAGAGGCGGCTCTCATGGGACTATGAAGCATGTTATTTGCAATCAGGCTACTCACAGTTGCATGGTACAACTGGAGAAGCATCAGCTCCTCCTGCTGGCAGGATAACGAGTTTCTAAACTTAAGTTTGGGAGAAACCCTCAGCAACTGATTTAAAACTCTGCTTACAAAGGAAGAAGAAAAAAAACCAAACTACAGACAAAATACATGGTTAGCAGAGGCGAAAGTTGATTGCATGAACAAGGGCTCTGGAGCTGGTGGATCTATGTGCCAGTTACTCGGAAGCCTGATCCTTTCTAAATATGATTTCATTAGTACGCAGGTAGTACTGCATTTTTCAGGGATGTATTTCCATTTTTACAAAAAGTAATGTTGATGTTACATGTTCAAGGTAACTTAAATCCCCTTGGACAAAAACACAGGCTTATAAGGAGTTAGGATTCTTTTGTGGGTATCATGTGATATTGAGAATAAAGGCAGAAAGTCCTTTCTTTATATCTCCTCTTTAACCATAAGACAACACTGGAATTGTTCCTCCTCATCATGCTGGGGTTTTTAGCATCTTTTTTTTTTTCCTCTTTAAGTGGATGAAAGCTGATGACTCCTCCAAGACCAGTGGAGGAACACCAATCAAAATTGAAGATCCAAACCAATTTGTTCCTCTAAACACAAACCCAAGTGAAGTGTTGGAAAAGAGAAATAAGGTAAAAGAATTGTAATGAATTGAAAATTGTAACATTTCCAAATAAAATTATATGTTCAAGTAATTATTTAACATAGCAGTAAAATAACATTTTCAAATGTTCTGATTTTATTAAGAAGTTTCTTACATTGTGTGTGATTTTTGGCACTAAAATCATGTATTTAAGTGTATGATATATGTGAAGTCTGTAGGTAAATATGCAATATATATAAATGTTGAATGCAATAGTTTGATGAAGGATGAGTATTAACTCTGGAAATTATAGTCTGGAAGTAGTATCCCTGTTATTTTAGCATTATGTTTAGTGGATAATTAAGTGTCAACATAAACCGAATTGCTGTGCGTCATCTACAGCATGATTCAGTCTTGGACTGTAATCTCACTCTGTTCTGTATTAATTCTCCTAGCACTTATTAAGCAGGAGTTTCTATGGTCCAGTCTGCTTCCTGATGGCAGTAAAAAAAGAAAATGAGAGGTTATTGTTAGACTTCTCTGTGAACACAAATATCTCGCTGCTTTTCCCTTCCAGCACATAAGACACTGTCAGACTGACCAGAAACTCCACCCTAGGCATTAACTATATTAACAGATATTCAGGACACTTTCTTTTTGATTACATAGTTTTTTCCTTTGTTGGAATGTACCATATTAGTATCCGTGGAGACTGAACTGGAGTCAAAAGGAGCAACTCCCTTCCTTAGAACTGGAAAGGCATCCTCTACTCATCTAGAGATTAATAATACAATTCTCAGACAATGATTTTTAAATTCATGCATGTCACTGTCTCATTAGATAGTTTATTCCTATTTTTTTACTGTAGATTTTTTTAAAAATCTGATCTGTATTGTATTCATATTTATATCTGAACTGTCAATCTCTTAAGCACTGACAATGTGAAGGTGAGGCTGTTGGCTTGGGGAAAATAATGGGGTATTCACAGAAGGAAGAACTTCACCAAACTGATCACAGAGATGTCTCCAGTAGCTTAACATGGGTCACTTATTTTGGGTGGATGGAGAGGTCAGGTCGAGAGACAGAATATTCCCTGGAGCTTATTTCTAAATATTGGCTTGTGTGAAGCATAGGAGCTGGGGCTAGAGTGGGTATTTGGGAATATTTGAAGGACTGTAACAACATGACCAGAGGTGGGAGGGATTGTAATTTTTAGGTGCAGCAGCCATCCACTGCTGCCTGTGTTACCGGCTTTGCGAAGTTGATGGGCACAGGATTTGTTAAAGAGAAATTTCTGTTTCTAACGCAGTTTCTTTTCTCTGTATAGATAAGGGAGCAAAACCGGTATGACCTGAAGACAGCAGGACCACAGTCTCAGCTGCTCGCTGGGATTGTTGTGGATAAAAAGCCGAGTCCAGTGAGTAGGACATAATTAATTGTTTCATTTATATTTGGATTATTTGGCTGCCTGTCTTTCAAGTGTCAGTTTGGCCATTTTATTCCTAAGTGCTTTGTTAGAGCTGATTATTTTAATGCTGAATTTGGATGTGTGATACCTATTATTCACATTTCATTTCAGAAGTTTAAAATGTTAGTATCAAAAGGAGATATGTATGGTAAGTTTGCCTGCCATTAATCTTAATGAAGCAGGACCTCTATCTAAGACCGTTTAAGCTAACAAGTGATGAACTTTGCAATGCATGGTGCCAAGAATAATCCTTTCATCAGTGTGTGGAACTGCTGCTTAAGGAAATGATTGAGGCCCAAAAATAGCTGAGTTTAAAAGGTGGGGTGGGACCATGTAGAAGGCAGCTTTCATGAGAAACGGGGGGAGGGTTGCCAGTTTCTTATCTGTCCACACCATCTTGTCTTGAGTAGAATATACTCATTTCCAACAGTACAGACATCCCTAATAATGTGTCTTACAGACTGTGCTGAATTGTAATTGGAATTCTGTAGTTTTAAGAGTTTCCCACCATCCATGGGTTAGTCGTTCTGTCTCCTCGTGTTGGTTTCCAGCATTCTTTTGACATAACAATGAGTTTGCTTATTTATTTCAGGCAAAATGAATATTCTCCAAATCAATTTTCTTGCAATATGGAAATAATTTTAATTTTGTGATTGTAAGATTCATCTCAGAAGAACTCTTCCAGTTAGATTCCTAAACTGGAGCATGAGCACTGTTACTTTCCTGAAAAACCAAAATAATCCTAGAATATGAGGCGTTTGCAGAAAATACAGTAACCTTATTTTGTATCCCTGTTGTTAAAGAACTTTCACTTCTCAGAAAAGTGTATTAGCCCCTGAAGTGTAGGCTGTTGAGGCAGGTCTCTGTTTCTGAGGGGAGATACATTACAGTATTATTCAATATATTCATCAATTACTT